TGCCAAGGAGCCCGGTGAAGCATTGGGGCAGGGACACTGAGATCCCATGCGTTTTCAGGGATTAACCTTGCCTTCAAATTCGCGATGTCATTTTATACAGCCACTCGACGACACCGAGATGCCCTGGGAGGTACCAACAGTGGTGTCAAGAGAAGACAGAGAAATGATAGATGATTCAAGAAGTGGCCGCAGATCGTTGTTTACAGGATCTGCAACGACAGACGAACTTAACAGAGGGGCGGTGGTTTCGAATGTTGAGACTTCCTGGGAACTTGTGCAATCGACTTTCCACGTTCGTGAAGAGGAAAACGTCAGCGGACTGGTCCTTCAAGGCAGTCTGGAACAACTCGAAGAAGCCCTTCGTGACATTGTACTCTGTCGAGGATTTGAACATGAGGGAATGGACGCCATGATTGAGGTAAATGGCTGCATTGCGCGCGCGAGCCACAGTAAATGATGGTCGGTAGTGTTGATCTTTTGCAGTAAGACTCAACCCAATGACTCAGGTGTATGTCAGCGACATGGGAAATTTCGTTGAAGATATGGAGGCAACGAGGAAAGCTGTCAGCGATGCGTACCACAGAATACCCCTGTCAGCCAGCGCCAGCCAGGGAGGCGGCTGCGCAGTGGACGAGCAGCTGCTCATGGCGGCGCTGGCGTCATACAATGAAACCGAAAGCTTCCTCGCAAGTGGAAGGTCTGGAGTTCGGGAGCTTGCTGCGAACAATACATGTCTGTCAAAGATGCTGGAGGAGCAAGAGTCCAGGGTGAGAAAACTGAAGCAGTGCTCCAACCACCGATCGCTCAAAACTGCATTCCGCCACGCGTACTTCAGCTGCAAAAATCGACGAGAAACTGAAGGTTAAATTCACCAGCCAATCATCGTAATCGTGGCTTCCGGGCTGTCCCATCTTCTTTCTTGGTTTTGAACAAGCTTTGCTTTTTCCCGCGCAATGCCAGCAGAAAAGGATTGGATGCCGTACATCAGCGGAATTGTATTGCGAATCCTCTGCACACGAATGCTCACTAGTTTCCCGCAAACCCAGTTGCAAAACACAATCCACGTTCCATTGAAACATACCCAACAAAAGATGCTTCCACGTTTTGGACTCAGTTGCACTAGCAAAGAAAGGGCCAAGTAACACTTTTGCGAACACACATAAAACACATTTCATCAAAGCTCTGCACGCTGAGAACACAAAAATAACACAAACCCGTAAACTTTGTACACGTTTGAACACGTGTTATTTGGCCCTTTTTTTCCTAGTGTGGAAATGCTTCACCAGCAGGTCTCCGTTCATGTTGAACGAGATTTAAGAGCTGGGGCGCAACACAGGCAAATGAACATCAAGAGCGAGGGCCCGACAACGAGTCGGCTCCTTGAGCGCAGCAAATGCATCTAACACATATTTCACTCAAACAAAATTGCAACACATGGGATTTTGGAAGTTTCCGAGAGCGCAACACAAAAAATCCGAAGCCCAGTGTTGCCGGCAGGAGCAAGACAGGCAGTTCATCACTGCGATGATCGCCGACATCAGCCAACATCTCAGCACGACACCCCTGCTGTCCAGCACCGAAATACGCCTACACCTTCCCGACGCTCAGTTGCCAACTGATTTGACTCCCAGCTCTCCGCCCGGAGCTTCTCAGCGGACCTCTGATGAGAGGAATGGAACGGCGGGGGAGGGGCAAGCCGAGAAGTTCGCCCCAGGGACTGCAAGAGCAAGTGCAAGGGCAGGTGCGGAGATACTCGAAAAGGGCCGTCCAGTTCGGAGACGCCTCATATCAACATCACACACGAGAACTTCCCTGCACAAGATTTTGTTAAATTTGTGGTGAACCGCTATTTCGCAGGCGCCATTTACTGCAGCAGAATTGTGGCATCTGAAAGTCTTCAAATTCCAGACAACGTCTTATTGTGCGTAGGCGGCTATTTTCCCGCAAGCCAACTTTGTGCGACAAGTCGGTGCCGACAGGCTGCAATGCGCGGGTATTCCAATGCATGACGTTTAACTGCCGAAATGTGGAAGAATCGCTGGTAGAAAGCAGCATGTCTGGATGCCAACTGCGATGCTATTTTGACACAAAGTGATGCCGTCACAGTGATTGTCATATGGCATAAAATTGGCTGCGATGGCATCAATTTGTGTCAAATGGCGTCGCAATTGGCATCGAAAACAGGCTGTTTTCTACTGGTGAATGCCAGCGCACGCAAGGATTCTGAACAAAGAGAGATGCAGACTTCGGGATGCATGAGAGAAACGCAATCCTCCTAAAGAGTGAATTGACATAACTTCCCAGTTTGGGCCAAAATGGGTACCCTGGAGCAGTTGCGAGTTTCGATTTGCGATCTGATGGACTCTCGCAGCGCTGCCGCAGCCATCTTCAAATGGACCGGGATAGCACTGATTGCCGCAGCAGGGCTGTTGGGTGTGCTCATTGCCTGGGGAAGCGCTCGAGCCTACAAAGTGAGGAGGCTGAAGGTAGGGGGGCGGCGTGTGCAGATCGGTGTGGCGACGGACGCCGGGTGTCGCTAGATTTGGGCAGCAGAAGCACATCGCACAGCGCATCGCCTTTATGAGCAATATGACACAACGGACAAATTTCTCTGTCGGCCTCAAACAAGAATGTGTCAATGTGTGGATTCGTAGCCAGCACTGTTCACATTTCAGGAACACAAGTCACTACGTTGCGACTGTACGCGCGGCCAATTCTTTGCGTCCCGACCACCGCGCTGGTTTGCTCGGCAGTCAAGACGTGTGCACAATTGCATAGCCGGCTGGCGGTCCTGATGGCCCGGAGCAGTTCCCCTGAATTTTTTCCATTGCCTCCGACAGCCAAGATCATCAAAGATCTCTCATACTCCAAGCGCATGGGATTTGCGTCAACACTTTGAAACCATTTAAGTGGACAGCCAGGCTTGACAGCGATTCCGCTGATCGGAGCGCTGTGCCGCCGGCGCCAACGCGCTGCGCTCTTTACTCGCAATGCACCTGATGCTCGGCTTCAAACCCCCTGCTGGCAGAGCGCAAGGAAGCTGCCGCAGCGCGCCAACAACGAGGCTGGCGTGCGGCTACACGGCAACGCAGACTTCAATGGGATTCCATCGGAGGACGGCGCTGTGGCATGAAGGTGACGGTGTTTTTCGCTGCAGCAGGGTAGATACCCTGAGTATAGATATCCCTTTCGGAGGATAGGCGGGGCAGGGGATCGGCAGGATGTGCAGTGTGTAGACAGCGCCAAACGCAGTGCAGGCCCTGATTGCCATGGCCACCTTGCCTGCGCTGTCTGCTGAGGATGCGGTCGCCACCAGAAAGGATCTCTGGTGGATGCCTGTGGCCAGATATGGATTCCAAGATGTGGTGTGGAAAGAGCGAAGCACGGGATTTCAGCCCTCAAAGTTGAAATGTGATAAGACTATTACCCCACTACTCTTCGTGTGAAGGTCGCATCAAGGGATGAAAACCCAAGAGAAGGAAATCCTTAACGGGCCATCGACAGACTCTGCTGCACGCGATGCCATCGCAAATTCACCGACTGCGCTTTGATACAGAATTTAGAAATTTTTTACAAAACTCACTATACACAAAACATGTCGCTTTCTTTGCACACGTTTTTCTGATGGCCACGGCATCTGCCAAACCATCCCGGTTTGACGGGGTATTGCAGAATATTGCGTCCATCCATTTCACTGTCGTCAAGGAGAGCCGTTGCGGCGACACCACGCCCAGCCGCACAGAAGGGAAGGCGTCAAAACAAGGGTCGTGGTGGTGAATAGGGCCACGAACAGTCGCGGAACACACCAATGGATTGCCGTCAGCATGGGCAAAGGTGCCCAGCAGGTAGAGGTGACGAAGACGTCAATGTCCCAGTGTCGCGCATTCTCGTTTGGGGCACTTGCATACCAGCAAATCGCCATAGAACTTCCATTGTATCTCCTTGGTCTGTTTCTCATGGAGTTCCCCAAAACCTAGCGTCAGTACAAACTCCTGTGTCGCTCTAGGGGCAGCGAGGCCTACATTGCACGCCACCACGGCGCGCCAGTGGCTGGTGTATGCTGCAATGGCATTACTGGAATGATCCGTTTGGGGGCCTATCGTCTGTCAGTATCGCTCAAGGAGGTGGTGTTAGCATCCCTTTGCACTGGTGTCTTCCACGCAGCTGCGCAAAGGCACTGCATTGCAGACGCTCCTGCACAAAGCTCACAGGGCCTGTGCACACCGCGGTGAGGGTATCTATTTGATCCCCCCATTCCCGTGCTTCTATTCAGGGCATGTGGGTCTAGTCGTCGCGAGCCTACTTCCGAAGTCTATGAGAGTTTATGTGGCAGTAGAGCCTTCTTCGCTAGTCCCTATTGGTCTCTAATTTACTATGCCTCTTTCCAACAGAATGAAGTATCAACGTATCCAGCGTCATTTCTTAAATTGCGCCCAAGAGCAGCAACGTCCGCACGCCTCTTAAGGGCCGTGTCCTGCCCCAACAGGTTATTGGCGGAACAGAGTACCGCAGAAGCCCGCAGTAGTACGTTCTGATGGACACTTCACCAGACGCACAATCTATGCATGCATTGATTAGGAAACTGGCTTGAATGCGATAGAGCCCGCAACCAGCACCTCCAGGACATCGCTACCTGGGTGAGCTGCAACACTACCTGGATATTATTCGCTGTCAGAGGACGAGCAGGATGGCCCAACAGTGTTCAGGATCGAGTGCCCCCACTGCTCCTGCTTTGGCAGCCCTCCTGCCACAGCACCCAAGCCTCTGCGCTCGGGCTCGTGGGCACGAGTCATTATTGCCCGAGCGCAAAGATCCTACCTCCCCACCCGCTAACCCACGCCCGCTCCCAGGTCCAAGCTGGACTGGCTACCCTGGATCACCTGCCGCCACCATTTTCTGGTGACAACGAGCCAATGAAATTGTGCTTGAATCTGAAATTGCTCTCGAAACTGTAGGGCACGGGACAAATCTGCAAATCTGATGAAATCTCAACACGACCCTCATACGCTACCTAGTCCAGCCAGACTCCGCAGCTGCTCCAGAACGACAAAGGTAATGGTCGTTTGGGGCCCGAGTCTCACATAGTTGGCAGTCCACCCCTTGAACAGCCCCAAAAAACCATCATGCTTCAGAATGTCGACCATGCAGTGTACGGGCCCAGAAAACTTGTTGCCACCTGGAGGAAGATGCAAGCACACAAACCGTCCAGTTAATGCCAATTCTCTGCAGCAGTGCAGAGATTGCAAAAGCGATAGAAGCTGAAACATGTCGTAGTGCCGAACGGCAGGCGAGAGTTTGATTAACTCTGCAGAGATTATGCAACCGGCGAACGCATCACACAACTGGTGGTCCAATTCCAAGTTGAGAAATGTGTAAAACTGGTTTTTGTACCAGCTGCACTGTTGAACTCCCTCCATCGTGCTGCTGGAATGTTCACTGACACTACAAATTTGTTGCTTTTAAAAGCAAAACACGCTTGGATCTTTTGCTGGTGCACCATATCATGTTGGTTCCAGGGCCAACCCGGTGGAGAGTTTTCAAGATTCAAACGCACCAAAGCAGCTGGCCACAGAATTGAATTGACTGGTGATCCCCACACTTACGGACAAACATGTGGGTTTTGACTACATCCACTGGTGCAGTTGCTGTGGTGGAAACCAGACCTGTCAACAGCACAGAAGTGGACATCAGCTGTCTGTAAATCAGATTTCTAGCGGTCATTGTCATTCCATTGTTGTGACCATCCTTTCTGTCGCCATTGGTATCTGTTCCTCATCCAACGCGGGAATCAATGCAATCCATTGACAATAGCCATCTTTTTCCATGTGATTCACAGCAAACATTCCCATGCGCATGCATTTCCATTGGCATGTGATCCATCGATGGTACTCATAGACCTGCTCAGTGGGTTTGGCCCAACAGATTGGTCCAGTAACCCAAGCTCTAGAGCCTGTGTTCTGCGTACTTCAGTAAGAGGGAGTGGAAACAAAACCACCGCTTTCACCACTTCCTGCACTCTCAGACATGCATGGCCTTATTACCTGTGGCAGACCTGTCAAGGCACCCCCCCCAGCAAAATTGACAAATGTCCCAGTTCGAGAAGTCTCACACAGTCTCAGACAGTTGATGCGAATGCACACTCTCAGTTGCACACAAGGGCATCTAAAGTTGTTTGACTTGACCTTGAGCAATTGTTTACTTTTTGGCTTTTCAATGACTGTCCTTGACCATGGATATGATCGCTAAAGCCATGCTACCCAATTGCACATCTGTTTCCTGCTTCCTTCTGCAGTCATGCTTTACATCCAACAACAAAGGACAGCCAGCATGGGACAGAAAGGCAAAATAATGCCACGGTGGCCGTTGGCATCGCTCCCTGCTTGGTGTACCACACGTGTTGTGGCATTGTCTCCAACCACACTGCACCTGTCACCATGCTTGTGATCACATGCGTTTGCATATCATCACGCCATCCAGTTCCCGTCATGAGTGCATGCTTCACTTCATCGTACGTTGCACATTGGGAGGCTGTGAGGATTGCTGCCCTGGCCTGCACGCAAAGACACAGCAGAGGTCTGAAATGCTGGCAGCACTCAAGGCAATTGCTGGCACTCAGAGGGCAATTCATGTCTTGTTCAATCTTGGTTGGCCACAGAATCGCCTCTGTGAATGCTGCCAGTATGCTCTTTCACAAAATAAACATGCACAAGGATCCATTGTTGCAGTGGTGGTGGTGGCGGTGGTGGTCAGGCACCTGGGTGCCTTGCAAGCCAGGTCATTTCTGCTGAAAAGCTCTCGGCATGACAAAAACATAGATTAATTGATGCTGTAGCCTACTTTCTGCAACTGCATTCATCATAATTGTATATTTTTCTTGCCTGGGTTACATTAATCACTAAAGAGGCAGTGATACAACAAATAAAACTACCTGCAACACTAACTGGATGGCACATGAATACACCACAGGCTAATGTGATCGTGCCTTGCCACACCCACATTCACTTCACATTCACTGCCAAGTTCTAGCCAAGCGTTCACAATCCCAAGGAACAGGCAACTGCACTGGGTTCCTGTCAGGGATTGTGCCCGCTGCTCACCATGGATGGCACGCTTCCTTTCCACATCCCAACATATCCGTCCTGTCGAATCAAGTCTGATGCAACAGACAGAGAACTCCTACCAGCATGACCTCTTGCCTGCAAACGTGTCTGCCAAAGGAGAGCAAAATGTCATGCATGCGATTGTGTAACAGCAGATTGCGCAACTTCTTGTGGGCCTGGCTTCTGTAAAGCAGCCGTCAAGTGCATGAAACATATATCGATGCTGAGAGATTGCTCAAGTGCCCTCGTCCCTCAGAGTTGGGACAGATGCTTTATCAATGCTGTGCATCACTCCTCGATGACTGATAAGGGTATTGTAACAAAAGCACAACCACAATTTGCGTTGTCTTGAGCAGTCAATACAGTTTGTGGTGATATGCCATGCTGGAGTGATGAACTTTGCAAATTTCAAATCCTTGAACTCTTCATCTTGCAATAAATCCTTCCTGGAGCCTTGTGCCTTCCATTTTCCTGTGACGCGGTGAACACCCTTACCTCTTTCCAACAGGATGGGTGTGGCACCTGAATTCTTAAATACGAAGAACAACCTGGAACAAAAAAGGGAGTCACCAGCACAACTGCACAGCAACCCACAACTTGATTTACCTCACCTTAACTAGATCAATGGGGTTTGCAATACCAGCTGCCAAAGTTCCACTGAGAAGACCAGCTGTCACCTTCACCGCAAATGGGTTACTGTCGCCATGTGCCCCAAGAGCAGCTTTGAATGGCGCATACAAGCCAAGACGAAGCCCTTCAAACATTGCCCACACAGATGTCAGTCAGAAATTGTGCCAGAAAATGCACATCTATTGCCTCCTTTCTTGTATTGCAGCTGGCCCAGGCATTTCCAGCAAAGGTTTGTTACATAAATGTGGGTCCCCACAGGAACATGCAGCCCACCCCAACCAGAGAGATCTTGCAGTTGCTTTCATGTCAGTCTTTTCCAGTCCTGCAGTGCCTGGTGCCTTCCAAAGAGACATAATATCCATATCTCTTCCCCTTGGGAGGGATCAGAACCTGATGCATTAAAATATTCAGGAAAGATACTTCTGTACTTCTGAAGCAGCACATTACAAAAACAAAATATCCCATTGTTGTGGCGTAAAGCGTGGTGATGAAATCTGTCGACAAGATTAAAATCTGCAAAATGTTCTTGTGACTCATTTGGCAATGAGCCAAAGTGGCAATCAACACCAAAGGGGCAATGCCCATCACTGACAATGAACTACGGAAAGCACAAGGGCCTCATTTGCTCAAGAGTAATGCAAGGCTTAGCAAATAATGCTGTACCTACATTGCCAAGGAGCAGATGTGCCTATCTCACATTGTGCAGTCATTGACGGGGTATTGGGCTTAAGTTGATTGCCTACATTTCTTGACAGAGGACAAAGAAGGCAATACCTCCATAGACGATGGCTCTGACAGCTGCTGGAGCCAGACCGCGGGTAAGTGCATGGGCGCCCTCTGTGCGTACAAGCTCAACTCCTGTCCTCATCTTCATAACAGGGAAGCATACTCCTGTCAGCGGAACAGTTGGGTGGCACTATAGTGTGTGCTCGTCCATTCTAAGAAGCAATCAAGACAACAGTTGCAGAGCATCACAAATTGTTCAATGGGCAACCAACACAAGGCCCAGGACTACAACAAGCATTGACGTGCACCATGACATACAGACCCTGCTGTTTCTTGCTATTGCAGGTTGTTGTCCTGTCACGAATGTAATAACGTATGTGGTACTCGACAAGCTTCATTGTGTCCCTGAATGGGCATCTCAACCTCCTGCACTTGTCAAACAGGCATAGTGTTCAAAGTTGTAGGCCACAGCCTCAAAAAGCGTTGTATTCCGACTTCCACTCCAATACCCAGCGAAGAATCTAGCTGGCACAGGAAAGATGCTCTTGCAGCGTCTAGCAACTAAAAGAAAGCCCCCTTGGTTGGAAAAACCACAACAAAGCCATCCAACTACTGCAGCAGCCCCCATTACAGTTCCACCGGAAATAACAGTTGCCAAATTAACCAGAAGGCAGGTGCAAGCACACGCAAAAGTGCACCCCTTGGTAGCACTAAGAGGTCAAGGAAACAACGGTGAAGTGCCGTCGCATGCACTGGCTGCCTGCAATGGCCGTACATTATGACAAATTTTGGAGGGATCCTCCCCACACGGCTCGCAGGTGTTCAGCAGACGCCGCGCCATGCTGTTCCCCTCCCACCGAAAGCCATCTGGGGGCTCACCAGACCGGGCGCCGGCCGTCCATCAGCCAATTTCAAACTCGCCAGCTGTTGACGAACCTTGACGACGTCTGGAAAAGGCGACAAACCACAAAATGCAGCGCAGTTCAATGACAAAAGACGCCAAAACCACCGCTCCACATATCTATAACGCAACAGGTGTCGAGATCATTACAAGTGCGCTCCAACAGCACCTTGAAAACAGGGGCCCGGACGACCGGGGAAGGAACACAACCGCAGGGCGCACCCATTTTGCGGTCGGGAGTCGTGCCGGTGCCGCCCCGTCCCGTCGCGGCCACCAGATCGACTGGAGGCGCCGATCCAACAAAGGATGCAGGTAAGTGGATGGCGCGCAGCGGCACCTTGTGCGCCGACATCCCCGCAGCTTCGCCCCCCAGCGCGGGGCGGCCGCGTCCGGTGACGCTTCTTCGTCGTGGCTGGCAGCGGCCGAGACTGCCTCGCCTTCAAAAGTGGGAGATGGGTTGTTGCGAGGTGGTGCCGCGTTGCATGTGTAATGCCGTCTCATGCGTCTTTTTTTGTATTCCGTGGAAAACTGCGAAGGCGCTGTTGTAACAACAGCGAGCCTGTGAGGCAGCCGTCAGCTTCCTATTTTGCCCGAGCAAAGCAGAGTCTGTGATCAGTTCATTGCAACCTAATGTCTACACTGTTGCGGCCAGAACTGATTGAGTGTTATTAACTACTGAATGCATGAAAAGATGATAAAGCACTAGGAATTATTGCATTAAGGATGTTGATGAATGGACTGAATGTAAAGGACAGAACGCCTGTTGTCCTTTTGCCTTGGCTGTAAACCGTTGCCGTGGACTCGAGCGCACAACTCCCGTTCAGGGATCGCCACCCCTCGATCCTGCTTGCCTTCGTCAACACAAACAAAATCTGAGAATCTATCAACCCCTTACGCCGAGAATCCGTTGTCGATGATAGCTGATCTCCACCTCTCTCAAGATGTAGCGGGGATTCATGCATTGGACCAACGCAGCGCGCACGATCCTCACAGCGACACACACAAGTATTGAGCCAGTGCCGTCGGCCGCAGGGCGTCAGGCGTGGAAGGGCAGTTCTTACACTTCACCACATCCATTTATGATACAAGTTTCCTCGTTCGTTTTACCTGCACCCTCGCTGGCTCTTTCAATCCGTACCACGTTCTTCACCACTTCCCACTGAAACCCAATAGCCCAACTAAACCTTGACAGCCTGTCCCACACCGCCCATCAGCACACCCTACCTTGTAGTCTCCCTTAGCCCTCCCTATTTCTGTCCACCTAGCCGTACTAGCGCGAAGTCCCCTATAGCCCATCCTAAATCCATACCCACAACTCCTACTACCACACTTCAGCTCCTACATTTCCACCTGACCGGTCTCCTGAACCC